TTTAGCTGCAGCGCGTGACCTCCAGGGCCGGCTGGGCTGGCGGGTGTGCTGCGACACCTGCCTGCCTGCTCTTTATTTGCAGAAATGGAGGTGTCCTGGTTTGTGCGTGTGGACTTGTTTCCCCTGGTGTGTCTGCATTTAATAACCTGGGTGTGCTGCTCCTGCTCCGGCTGGCCCGGGGCTTCCCACGATTTCGCGGTGTGCTGGGGTGGTGCTGGGATTGCACTCCTGGAGAAGCTGCAGGGGCTCTGCCCCAGGCAGGCGAGCCCCAACCAGACCAGCTGCTGCCCTGCTCAACCCTCCGCAGGTCCAGCCCTGTGCTGCCGGTAGCCCTGCCCGCTTCACTGCTGTGCCCTGGCTGCTGCTGGCAAGGGCATTGCCTGCCCTTTTCAGCTTAGGACAGGGTATCATGTTTTAAGTTTGTTGATTATAAGTACCTGCTAGCCAGGGCTCTTAAAGCCCAGCCGCGCTCTGAGCATGTGTTTTGGGACAGCCTTATGAGGCCAGTGCGCTGGTGAGTCCGAGTGCTCACCTCTCGGATCAGCTCTCCTGGAGGCGGACCATCCGGGACACTGGTGCCGTGCCAGCCTTGTGAGCAGGGCTCGAGCCGTGCTGTTGCATGTCAGGGAGAGGGGATGCAGCCATCTGCTTTCAGCTGAGGTAATACTTTGTCCTTTGCAGATATTTGAACCCCAACTGAGTCATCGCCAACTTGGTTCAAGATGCCACCGGCCATCGGAGGCCCTGTGGGATACACTCCTCCTGAAGGAGGATGGGGATGGGCTGTGGTCATCGGAGCCTTCATCTCCATTGGGTTTTCCTATGCCTTCCCCAAATCCATCACCGTGTTCTTCAAAGAGATTGAGGTCATCTTCAACGCGTCCAGCAGCAAAGTCTCATGGATCTCTTCCATCATGCTGGCTGTTATGTATGCAGGAGGTAAGTGGGCTGGAGGCAGCAGTGCTCGTGCATTGCAGTATAGGATGCAGCTCTTCTGCTGGGTCTGATGATTCACACCTTGCTGTAGTGATGACAACCAAAACTGCCAAAAGTTGGAATTCTCTCCTTACATCAGAGCAAAACTTCCCTTAGTAAGTTTGCTTGAAGGAGGTTGCTCAAAAAGTTCTATTTAATGCCCAGAACGCAAAAACTGGGTTAATCTGTCCTCCTCTGCAAAGCTGTAAGTAAAATCTTTCCGGGGAATTACGACTTGTGTAATTCTGCCCTTGTCCTTGTTACAGTACACTGCGGATGCTGTGTCTGCTTCCAGCGCCTGCCTGAAGGCCAGGGGAGCAGCTGTGCCACGTGTAGGAGCTGCACTCAGGGGTCTCTTTCTTTTAGATAAGACATCGATTTTTTTTTCCTTTTTTTAATCCAGCAAACAGTGGCTGTATCTAGGGATCTGTTCCCAGTTTCTGATCAGTTCCAATGGCTCAGCTGTGCTCTGGAGTGCACTGAAACCTGGCGCTGCCTGTTCTTCCTCGCTGGTGCCGAGCAGCGCTGTAGGCAGCTTATGCTGTTTGAGGGTGGCAGCGTGCACTGGAAGTACAGAGACATGAGCAGAATAAAGCTAAACTACTTAAACTGAAGCAGCTCCCTTCCCCCATCGCTCAGAAACTGCTTTTTGAAGTCTTTTAATCCCCACGCTGTCTGCTTTATGCTTGTCTTTAACTGGCGAGGAGCAGGCGGAGCGTTCCCTGCGGGGCGATGTGCTCCCGGCCCTCGCCTCGCTGGTCTCCAAACCCCGGTGTCTCATACCTGCCTGCAAATGCAGCTTTGCACTGGGTTGCTCAGCTGAAAGAAAATCTTATTGGGACCCTGCTGTTGTGTCCACTTCAGAGGCAAATTGGAGCTTGTACCGCTGCCATCCCCAGCTGGCGAACTGCCCACATCCTTGCTGCATTTGTGCATCGAAAGGAGCTGACGTCAGCACCCGGCTAAGCACGAGGCTTTTCCTTTGGGGGAACAGGCTCTGCTTTGTCCTCGCTCAGCTAGCGAAGCGACCAGCACATTTCCCTGCTCTGATGTTATAACAAGCTTGTAAACCATGTAACTGCCTTAATGAGACTCAATCTGGGCCATTCCTCCTCTCCTCGTAGCTCAGAGCTGGTTCCTCTGGCTGCCCCGGAGGCGGCACTGCCTGGAGCTGCACAGTAGCTGGGGTGAGAGCTCCCTCCTCCAGTCCTGGGGTTGTCCCCCTGTTCCCCTCCCTCCACACTGACACTGTCTCTCCCACTCCCCTTGAACTGTTGCCATTAAATCCCAGCAGCTTGCTGGTCTTGAACCACTTGCCTGTAAGCCGTTGGCAGGGATGCCAGATCTGCCCAGGTGCATCCCCTGGCTGCCAGAGCACAGGAACATGCTGCTGCCCTACTCACTTGTTCAGGACTCCTGCAGCCTGAGCCCAGACCCTTTTGCAGGGTCTGAATCGTGCTGGAGCGGTCACAGTGTGCATGCTATTCTCCCCGTCCCCCAGAGCACCTTCCTGCAGGAACTGCGCACTAGCTTGGAGGCAAAAAAAGTAGCTCATGCTCTGGCAAAACATCCTGGGCTGATGCTATCTTGCAGAGCTGGGGTAGCTCCTGTCCCGGGCAGGGCTGGGGGTGGTGGAGCAGCATGTCCTGCAGCCCCACGCAGCCGTCCCATGCGGTCACCATCAGGGTACGTGGGTGTAATGATCTCAAATGCCCCTTTCTCAGCTCCACATTAGGATTAGGGAGGACTCTGGTTCCATTACTTACACTTTTTTCATAGCATAAATAATCAAAATGTTAGCTGATCGCTAACATGTGGTCAGAAGTGCTTCATGTGAATCTATAAAATAGGAGTGGGTGTGAATGCTTCTTTTTTCTTTTAATTAAAAAAAAATAAAGAGGGGGGAATTGCCACCAGGGTACATGGTGCCGCCTAGCTGGGCGGCTTCCTGCTAGCTGCCCTTGGAGCCTGCCGCTCCTGGCTGGATTTCCCGGAGCAAAGGCTGCTGCTAACTTTAGACTCTGTCCAGGAGCATCACGTTTGCTGAGTTCAAGGTACAGGTTTTGCAAAGTGCTGAGTGTTCTGTGGGGAAGCGTGTGGGGCTTGGGGTGATGTGACAGCCCCTGGGTGCTGCTGCCACTTCTCACGGGAGCAGGGCCATGGCCCCTTCCCAACTGCTGGTGGCCTCAGGTCGGAGCCGCTGGCGTGGGCTGCTCTGGCTGGCACGTAGGTACCGTGTCAGCTGCGGAGAGCAGGATGCGGCGGGGCTGGGGGCAGCCTCTGCAGTAGCAGGGCTTCTGTAACCTTCTCCGGGCTTTGTTTAAACTGGGCAAAAAGGTCAAGTAGCGTCTGAGGACTCATGAATAACATGTTGACAACCTTGCTATCTGTTAATGGCAAAACTAGGTCTGTTAATATTCAATGGATGTTCATTCAGTTTATTTAAATACATTTTAGTATCTGTAGAGCATGCTTCACAGTATCTAATCACTGTTTGCTTTGGATTAAAGCTCCTGATAATGAAGCACTTAAAAGGCAGGTGTGCAGAGCAATTGGGCTCTTCCTACCGTAGGGGTAGCAGTGAAAACAGAAGCACTCCTTCTCCCTGGGGCTACCTGGGGCGGCACGGTGCTGCTCCTCCTGCAAGCCCTCGGGGAGCTTCGCCTGTGCCCATTGAAGCTGTTTATTCAGCTTTGTCTGGTCTCCATCAGAAACATCCCGCTGGAGATGGGCAGTTGCTGTAAACTTGCTTTGCTGCTGAGACCCCAGCCCATGGTGGGCGGGTGGGCAGGGCAGAGCCCCCAGCCCAGAGCAGAGCACTGTGTGGGGCAGGTGGCTTCACCCTGTCCCAAACCCCTGTCCCTGGGGGGTGGCTGATGCCCTGGCAGCTCCCGGCTTAGCCCACAGAAGGCGGCTTGCTCAGAGAAGTCACAGATTTCTGCAGCCATGAACAGCCTCTGGCACTCAGCAGAAGCTGCAGCATGCCGGCGCTGGCTGGAGGCTCACTTCTCCAGCTGGGGTCCTGCGTGTGCTCTAACCAAATGTCACTCTTATCTCCAGCTGTCTCTGAACCTCCTGTCCTTTCCCCTTAACCCAATTCCCTTGCTGGGTGAAGTGTCACTGTGTGAAAGCTGGAATCCTGTGGCAATAAACCTCCTGTGTGCTTGTGTGCATCTGTCTTGTCTCTCGTGCAAAGATAACTCATCTCTGGGCATATCTCCTTCGACTTTCTAGGTCCCATCAGCAGCATCCTGGTGAACAAATACGGCAGCCGGCCCATCATGATCGCTGGCGGCTGCCTCTCTGGGTGTGGGTTGATTGCAGCCTCTTTCTGCAACACAGTGGAGGAGCTCTACTTCTGCGTTGGGGTTGTAGGGGGTAAGTGATGGTTCTGACCTAACGGGGCTGCAATGGAGGTAAGTCCTCTCCTGAGGCAGCAAGAGGAGCAACTTAAACCTAATAATTATTAAGGAATGTCTATGATGAATTTGCGTAAATCCTGATTCCTGTTACATATTCTAGTAAGAGATGGCCCTGGTGACATAATGTGGGACGACCGTACTAGTGACTGTACACAGGACTAGTGTTTGGTACTGAGAATAGAGAGCATCTGTTGTTCCTGCCCCAGGCTGGGGTTGTGCCCCGCCAGTTGACCTAAGGTTTGTCATGAGCTGGGGCAGTTCTCCCCTTCTGGCTCCCGAATTCCTGCACGCAGCTTTGCTGCTGCCCTGGCACCTCCTCCCAAGTCGGCAGTGGGGGGCCAAGTGCTGCTCATGCAATTGGGAAGTTAGTACAGCCAAAGTGGAGCTGTGAAACCCCCAGAACTGAAACTCCGCTCTCCCACTCATTCCACCAGCCCTTCTGCTGGTGCTGCTGGCTTGTGGGGGGTGGTTGAACTCTGAGCCCCTCGTCTCTCCTCTCCTTCAGGCCTTGGACTCGCGTTTAACTTGAACCCAGCCTTAACCATGATTGGCAAGTACTTCTTCAAGAAGCGTCCCCTGGCTAACGGGCTGGCAATGGCAGGCAGCCCTGTGTTCCTCTCCACCCTGGCGCCCGTGAACCAGCTCTTCTTTGGCATATTTGGCTGGCGTGGCAGCTTCCTCATCCTCGGCGGTCTCTTGCTGAACTGCTGCGTCGCTGGATCCCTGATGCGGCCCATAGGTCCCAAGCCAGATCAGCTGAAGAAAGAGGCTGCTAAGGAGGTGCTGCAGGAAGCTGGGAAGGCAGTGAAAAAGGACGATGGTGACCCCAGCACAGACCTCATCGTCGGGAAGACCAAGAAACAGAAGAGCACGTTTTTCCAGACAATCAACAAGTTCTTGGACCTGTCCCTGTTCACACACAGGGGCTTCCTGCTCTATCTGTCGGGCAATGTGATCATGTTCTTCGGGCTGTTCACTCCCTTGGTCTTTCTCAGCAATTATGCAAAGAGCAAGAAGATTGCTAACGAGTCTGCAGCCTTCCTGCTCTCCATCCTGGCCTTCGTAGACATGGTGGCCAGACCTTCTATGGGACTGGTAGCAAACACCAAGTGGATCAGACCCAGAGTCCAGTATTTCTTTGCCATCTCTGTGATTTACAATGGGGTGTGCCACCTCTTGGCTCCCATGTCCACCACCTATGCCGGCTTCTGCATTTATGCCGGCTTCTTCGGCTTTGCCTTCGGCTGGCTGAGCTCAGTCCTGTTTGAGAACCTGATGGACCTGGTGGGAGCACAGCGGGTCTCCCGTGCTGTCCGCCCGTGCTGTCGGCCTGGTGGCCATTGTGGAGTGCTGCCCCGTGCTTCTGGGACCCCCTCTGCTAGGTAGGGTGTGCTATGCCCAGGGAGCCCTGCCTGTCCTGCCCAGCCTCGCTGAGCAGTGGCGGGTCGCCTCGAGCTGTGGGCAGCCCTCAGCAGTGGGGCAGGGGTGAGGGGGGCGAGCACCAGCCCTGAGGCTGCCCCAGCATCTGAGGGATGGCTGAGGAAGTGGGGGCTGAGCCCCTGGCACAGGGTGGGGGAGCAGGGGCTGGAGGGATAAAGGCCTGAAGCTGAGGGTGATGGGCTTGGGCTGCTCTTGGGAAGATCTCCACAACCTGGAGCAGTTCTGGGGGGTATCTTGCTAAGCTGTGCCCTCTCTGTCCCTCAGGGAAGCTCAACGACATGTACGGTGACTACAAGTACACGTACTGGGCCTGCGGGGTCATCCTCATTGTCTCAGGGATCTACCTCTTCATCGGGATGGGCATCAACTACCGCCTGGTGGCAAAGGAGCAGAAGGCGGAGGAGAAGGCGAGGAACGAAGGGAAGGAGGAGGAGACCAATGTCGACGAAGCTGAGAAGCAGAAAGAGGCAAACAATGACGTGGCCCCCTCGCCTCAGAAGAGTGCAGAGGATGGTGTCAAAGAGGAGGAGAGCCACATGTGAGGGACCGGTCTCAATCCCGGAGTGTTGGGGAAGTGCTGCTGCCCTGGCGCGGTGGCTGGGGCAGTGCTCCGCTGGCGCTGGGCAGCTGTGAGAAGTGTTTAAACCAGGTGTTCATTTTTAACCAGGCTCTGAATTGTCTTTCCATCTGTGTTCAACAAAGGTAACAGGGTTACACACGCAGTATCCTCGTGTGTCGGGGGACAGGGGGGCTTTTTATAGTCTGGCTTTTTAACAGTAACATGAATGTACTAATATGTGCCTTACAGTCTTCATACCTAGCTGAATCTGGACGAGCCTTAACTCTAAACCGTGCTTTAGCTCTGTATTCTGCTCGGGGGGTGTGTGTGTGTATGCGTGTGTTTTGGGGAGTTTTGTTGTTAAAAAGCCATAAAAAGCAGGATACTGGATTTGTTGAAGCACAATGGGCTTCAGGACTGGCCCCAGATGAATACTGCTTCACACGCTTCTTACTGCAGGCCCTCCACGGAGGGGGAGATCCGGGCATGGGGTAGGGTGGTCTTTGGCTCCTGTGCCGGGTGCCTCCTGGCTCTGTAGGTGGTCTTTAGGTATGTTTTGAAAACACTTTAGCTACTGTAGTTCTTTAAAATCCCTCTTTTGTAGTTGTGTTCTCACGGGATATTCGGGTTGGAGAAAGATGGCTGCGGTTCGGGTTGGGCTGTCTTGCCTGCTCCGGGGCTGTGGCAGCCCCTGTGCACCTGGCCCCTGCAGCCGAGCCCTCTTGGGGAGCGCTGGGGTCCCCCCCTGCCCCCCAACTCTGCCCTGGCGGTGCCTCTTCCCAGCCCGATGCTGGGTGATGTGAAACGGGTGCGAACACAGGGGCTCGGCTGGCAGTGCCAGGTCAGGGTGCTGGCCTCGGTCCCCCTGCGGGGTGGGCTTCCACCGGGGCATCCCTGTGCTGATCGGTCCCACCCAGATGGGCGTTTTGGGTGCCTGACCCCAGGCAGAGCGGAGGGGCTGGGTGGGGCAGGTGGAGATGGTACATCCCTGAGACAGGCCTTCTGCTTTCGCTCTTTTATCTCTTAGAGAAACCTCTTTTACTTGCTTCTGTTCAACTGAGATCTTAAGGCGGTGGATGCCTAACCACTCGCATCTAGGACACGTAAGGGGGAGGAAAGAATTTGTACGTATTTATTTTTTATTTTTTAGTGTTGGAAAATATCTCAACGTACGTGGAGCAGGTTAATGGCTCTCAAGTTCTAGTAAATGTTGATCAGAAATCAATGTAAGAGGCTGAGGTTTGGGTTGGTTTTTTTTTTTTCAAATAAACTTGTTTTTTTTACAATTTACCCATCAAATGTTGACCTTCTTTCCTAGAGTCACACTTCTGTGTGCCAGACAACATATATTTTGGGTCAGTTTTGGGGAGAGGCGAGTGGGGCTGTGGCAGAGCCTGGGTCTCCACCCACTGCTCGAGCACCCCAAGGCTCCTGCTGAGCAGGTCCCACCCCACCGACTGTGGAAGCTGCTCCCCATCGAGATGCCCTGCCCCTTCCCTCTGCAAGAGGAGGCTTTGGCTGGGGTTTGGGATGGCCACAGCCGAGTCTCCCCACGCACTCTGGTTTTAGAAACATTTCTGTTCCCCTGCCTGTCTTTACAGGATGCCTGTGAAAGCCTTGAGAATCCCCCTTTATTGCAAGGGGGATGGACACACACACTTAAATGTCTGTTTCGTGAGTGACAGGCAGACTTTCCTGCTGTCTGTCCCCACTGCCTCCCTCCGTGAGCTGAGCAGGGCCACTGCTGTGTGCATCCAAGGGGCCTCCTGCCTGCGGGCCTGGCACTGATGGCGGCTGAAACCAAATGAGGGGGTAAATGAAAGTCTTCCTGCCTGAGCTGCGCCGGGGTCCCCGAGCCCCTGGCAGGGTCAAGCCCTGCACTGCAGCCGCTCTCCTTGTGCTCCCTTGGCTGCGAGGCCACTTCAGGCTTCATTTCGGTCCAAACCTCACAGACAGCAGGCCAGGGTGTTTTCATACTGTAGAGTAACTTTATAAAGCCAACAGTATTTTGTACAAAAGGGTTTTGTTGTACAGTGCTGAGCTGTGATACTGTAAAGCCAAGTAACTGTATTTTCATAAATGGCGTGTCTAGCTGCAGTAACGGGTTCACATTGCAATAAATCAACCCTGAGGAGCTGCCCCTGGCGTCCCTGTTTTTGTAGGTACAGACAAGCTGCCAGCCCCCCTCCCTCCCCTCCCGTCCGCGTGTGGGTTGGTGTTCACTGGGGCCGAGTCTCCCCGACGGGCAGCTCCCTTGGCTGCTCTGGGCAGGGGGCTGTGGTGGCAGGGGCTGCCGAGCGCTGCTGACGCCTGTGTTGAGAGGAGCCTCCGTCCTCTGCAGTGAGAAATCCTCAGCCCCAGCCTCTGCTTTCCCAGTGCCTGACCTCCCCTGGGCAGGGGCTCTCCTGCCTACTCTGGGCTGTGGTACCCCTGCAGCTGACACAGGGGTTACCCTAACCAGGGCTGCCTGGGAGAGGGCTTGCGCAACCAGGGCAGGGCGCCAACCCCGTTTCTGAGGAAAAAAATGTTTAAATAATTTCCTGCTGCTTGGACTTGGCTGGCTGGGAACACTTCAGTAGTAAATCCGCGGTTGTTTTCTAAGGGTGGCCTCCATGCCCTGCCCCGCTGTGCTGTCTAGAGCTGGGCGTCAGCCCTGTCTTGGCTCCATGCCCTGTCTGGGACCTCCTGTGGGTCTGCTCCTAGGATCCACTGCTGTGGAAGTGCAGGTGAAGGAGGAAGGCGTGCGTGGGTTTGGGAGGAGAAGTTTGCTCTTGCCCTGTATTAGGCTATAAAGTGACTCAGGCTAAAGTCATATAATTGCCTTGCTTGTAAGGGCAGAGCACGGGGGCCCGTGCTGCATGCTGTAGCAGGGCTGGCATTGCAGCAGGGTGCAGGCTCTGCCCTGTGGCAAGCCTTTCCTCCCGCGGCAGCCTGGCCGGGCAGGGGCTGTCTCTGTGCCTGGTTCCTCCCTCGTGGCTCAGCTCGCAGAAGGAGCAGGGCTATATTTAGTCACGTTGTTTCTGTAACCAAAGGTATCTGCAGCGCTGGGAAGTACAAGAGCGGTGCTCGGTACCCAGAGTCCCTCACTGTTACCTACCCATAAAACAGGAGCTAAAATAATCCATGGGGCGCGGTGTAACTGGTGGCAGCCCTGGCTTTTGCCATGGTGGTGGATGCTCAAACCGGCCCTCGGTCCCTTCAGGGAGGTGCCGCTCTGTGAGAGCCTGTGTCACAGGGACATCCCTGCGGGCTGAACCCGGGGACTGCCTAACCACAGCAGCCTGGGACCTGCTGAGATGGTACCTCTGCAAAGAGCCACAGAAAGCCCGTGGGGACATGGTGCTTCCTCATTCCCCAGGCCAAGAGGTCCTGGCAGCAGTGGCCAAGCAGTGTGGGCATTGCTGGCAAGCCCCTGCTGATTGCAGCGCTGTGGAGCCAGCCCCCGTGAGTGATTGCACAGATTTCCTTTGTGTGCTCTGTCAGGCTGCCTTCCTTCCTCCTGGGGGTAGCAAAATAAAATTCTCTTCATAGCGGGCAGAATTGAGGAAATACTTGGGAACTAATTCCCATGCAGTTTGTTTTCCCAAACATCTGAGGTTGCCAGCCAGAAATGCTCGGCAGCAGCTGGGGGGGGAATCCCAGAGGAGCGGGCGGTCGCTCCAGCCGCCGTCCGGGAACAGCTACCAGCTGCCGACCGCTGGTGGCAGCCCCCGCCGGCTGGTGGTGTTGGCG